TTCATATTTCGTTCTATGACATAAAATTCCTCAGTAAATACCCTGCTCTTAAATGCTGAAGCCATTATGTGTCTTATAAAAGGTGGCTGCTAAGAAGTGGCTAAATGAGACTACAGAACGTCACTGCACCAAACTGGGCTTTACAGCCTTGGTGAAGTCATGACTGTAGTGAAGTTCCTTTATAGCCTAACGTTAGCCTTTTACTTATGATGATTTATGAAAACAATCATAAATGTGCTGGTAATTTGTGAAGATTAACTTCCTTCTGCAATAATCCAATGGAAAATCCTATTCCCATTTTGTCAAGGGAACCAGGGCGATGTTAACTTCTGGGTTGGCCTACAAACAAACGTCATCCCTGCAGCACTCTATACAGCAACCGTCAGCACTATGCCAGATACATCTTCTTACCTGTGGCTTTCTTGAAGCATATTTGACAAATCCTTGACTTTCTCAGCCTCCTTGACTTTCTCCCTCAACCCCTCGATCTCTTTTCTCAGCTCCTCCACTTCTGTCTGAGCCTCTAAGGATGTGCAAAAACAAAGTGTGAGAGTTTGTAAGGAAAACAGTGAAAGTGATAACTCCTATGTGTCACCTACTGGCATTTACACCCACCTTTAATCTGAGTAATGGGTGAACTTTTCGTCATAGACTTGAGATACTGACGTTCTAACTTGATGAGCTGTCGCTGTAGAGCAACATTTTCCTCCAAAACAGTCCTCAGCTGCTCGTTCCGTTTGCCCTGTGTCACAGGAGAGACCACAAATACAGTTTGCTCTTTAGAGCCTCAACGATTAGCTGATTAATCAATAATCTATTGAAAGAAAATTAATTGCCAACTATTAGCAAAAATGTCAGACATTTGCTAATTCAACCTTCTTGAATGTGAGAATTTGCTGCTTTTCTTTGTCATTTATGACAGTAAATGAAAAGTCTTTGGGTTTTTGGACAGTTGGTTGGACAAAAGATGCAAACTGAAGATGTCACTTTAGGTTCTGGGATGTGATGAGCATTTTTCACAATTTTTGACATTTTATAGACTAAATAATAAATTGATTGATTTATTGTGAAAACAACTGGCAAATTAGTCGATAATGAAAACAATCGTTAGTTACAGCCCTAGTGTTCATCAAGGTCTCCTAAAGCTTAACATTTTCTAGTGCTGAATCCACTCACAACTGCACTGCAAGCTTCCTCCAGCTGAGCAGAGAGGTTACGGACTTCAGTTTTGTGTGCTTCCTCTCGTACAGCCGTTTCAAAGTTCAGGGCATCAGCTTCCTGTCTTAAGGTCCTGACCTCAGCCTCCCGACTGGAAATATCATTTTCCATCATAGACAGGATCTGGACCGCCTGAGCTAGAGCCAAAAATAGAAGTTATGAGAAGATGGTCATTATCTTCAGGCTCCTGTAATCAGATACCATATTCCCCAAACTCACACAGGAAGTTGTTGTTATGATGCAGTGATCTCTCCCCAGTCCAGTGTTTGTCCACGAGGTTGAGGAGCATCTCCAGAGGTTTCCTATAACTACCCTGGGAGGTGAGATAAGAAAAAGGAAACAACCTCAAATATGATTTTTACAAGTAGTAAGAATAACTTTATAACAATTCAGTATGTGTTCACTTCTCACCCTTTTTCTCTTTTCCCCTTGCTGCGGCAGGCTGGAGCCCCCTTCTGTCTTGTTGAAGCTAGAATAGGTCAGTCTGGGAGGATGTAGGATAGGGTTGGAGGGGTCTGACAAATTGAAACCAGGACGACGTGGACTGGGAGGCCGGATATTAAGTAATGAAGAACTATGGCTATGACTTTGATCTAGAAAAATTTGAAAACACACATTTAACATGGCAACAAAGGGACATTTTGTATTTGTGGGTGTTTAACTTCTGACAAACTGTTTTATTAAGTACAGACATTTTATTCTTACCAGGATGGGGGGTATAATGTCCTCTGGCTGCATGTCTGGTTTGTTTGGGGAACTCCTTTTGCTTTTGTTTTCCAGGCACAGATCTGTGTTTCTCTACATAGGGGCCAAAGGACACCTTTGGTCTTTCAGTAACTTTAAATAAGGTAGAGCTTCTTTTATGAGATGGTTCTCTCATGTGTGGCACTTTGGACTCTGTGTTATCTGGTCAAATTACAAATGACATAATAAATCACTGATATTAAGTGACCTCCGATGTTCATGTTTAAAAATGAAAATAAGAATGAATTAATAATTAATTGAAATATTAAAGTATTGGCTTCTGTCTCCCCCTAGTGGTAGTTTTTTTCAACAATTGAAAAGGGGACAAGAACTGGGGTGATTTTGGCCTTTATCTAACTATTTAACTAAACTTATTTTTTGATTAATCTTTTACGGATCATGATTTCTTTAAACCTCATAAAAGTGGAGCTGAAGTATGGAAAATTACCATTGAAACACAAAGTCTTACGTCCATCATACCAACTGTTGCAGTCTCTAACTTTCTAATAAACCACTATCTATCTATCTCTAATTCACTCTCTGTACAGAGAGCTGCAAAACTTACCATAATTTGTGGAAGGATACCTGAGGATGGACTTTGCTGTTTCCTAAAAGAACAGACCACATGCTTTATGTATGAGAATGTAAATGCACTACTGATAATATTCTTTGACCAGCAGTGAAATAAAAAGCACCTGTTTTGGAGTAGAACTCCTCTGTTCTGAAAATTTTTTTGATTCATCCTCTTTGGGCTCTAAGACAGGAGACAGTTTGAAAACAAAACATGAATGCAACTGTTTTGGTTTTTATTTTAGAATTAGCTTTTGAACGTTAACATCTTACCTTCTGCCTCCTTGTGAACTGACTCCGACTTTGACTCACTTTGGCCTCCATGACTTGTGGCAACGAAATTCAACACAATGTCATCAGTGTCAGTCCGAAGAGAGAGCCTCCTGGTTAAGCGGTCCACTAAAGCCAGTCTCTGAGCGCTGCTTCTGGGAACAACAAGCAAGACGGTGAAGAATACAATTCAAGTAAGTCATAAAAAGGAAATTATTTTGATAAAGTAACTTTAAGTTGGTGTTTTTGTCATATGAGACTTAAAAACATTTGTCCTTTAAAACACACTGATACGTATGTGGCTGCTTTATTCATGATCAAACATCCTCCATCTAATGGGCAAACTTCATACAAACATTCCCAAAATTTATTTGTGCTTTGTCACACTATTCTAGACCCAACAAGCCTCAACAAGCCTCAAAATCAGTTTGGTGTGTGTCCCACGCTCTCAAAATCATTAGTAGACCGAGTACTACTACACACCTACACTCAACCATCTGACTATCAGTGTACCTTTTGTCAGCAACCTGATTCAAAGATGCGCTCTTCTGCTTAGGTAGAAGGTCAGAGGAGAACTGCATTATGGCAACTTTGCGCTCGGTGTCTCTGACTGGACAGCCATCTAGAAAGCAATAGAGGACAAACAGTTATGCTGAAAACTGACATGAGATTAGCACAGTCTGAGCGACATGGCTATATCTTACCTAACTTGCGTAGGTTAGGCATGGCATGCACCAGACAAAGGCGGTATTGTGGGTAACTTTTGGTCAGAGGGTTGAGCCTGAGGTCCAGCTCTCTCAAAGCTGGCAACTCATACAGCACTTTTAGCTCTTCAAGGGAGGGTATGCAGTTATAGTACAGGATCAGCCTCTCCAGCTTTTGCAAATGTTGAACCCCCTGTGGAGGAAACAGATTTTAAAAGGGGCCAGACAACAGTTAGTATCAGATATCTTCATAACAATGTATAACACAAAGGAGATAAAAGGGGATACCTGGATGTTAGTCCCATAATTTTATATAACACATACAAACACGTTTACAGCTTAAGACATGATCCAGAGTTTGAACCTACTTCAACTGAGACAAGCGCATTGCATGAGAGGTCCAGAGACTTCAGACGGACAAAGTTATTAAGTGCGTTTCCCAGATGTCTGATCTTCTCCTCATACGTCCCCGGGAGGCTCAGTGAGCGGACATCACCTGTGTCAAAATAATAACATGTATAAATGAGACGGCACTGTATTATTTGCTTCAGGTGCTGTGGTTTGCAGCAGGTGACAGTTACTGCTGGTAGCTATGTTAGCTGTTGTTAGCTTAGCCGCAGGTGCTAAGGCTCGGGAAAATAACATTAACTAACTACAAATGTTTTACACAAGAAAAGCTGAACGGCTTGACCCGTAATGTTAGCTGGTATTTATAACTACATAACGTGCGTGTTAGCGTGTGATAATATTACCGAGACAGGGATGTTTTAATTGTAATCTCTCCCGTATCCATTGCTCTGTTATGGTTGTCAAACACTCCGCCGCCATACTTTTCGAACTTTTGCTGCCTTCAGGTACTATCGGAAAAGTCAACAACACCTTCGCTTTCCATTATTGCTTAAACTCTGTTTAAGATTACATTCCGTAATAATAACGGTTATTTTTACTACAAAAATCCCGTCCAGCATACCGCTAGATATGATTTTGTAACATCGCCTTCAATTCATATATCTTGATAAGGCAGTCGTGCAGATGTAAATGGGTTGTAATTACAACTTTATGTACATAAATGTATTTCAAGATCAACGTTTACTCATAGAGCCAGTGTCATGGAAAAACCGCTTTAGAGAATAATAAAACATAAGAAGCAAAGCTCAAGTGATTCACGGAGCAAAAGTTGGCTAGTAAGGGGCGTCGGTGGCTTAGTGGTAGAGCAGGCGCCCCATGTACAAGGCTGTTGCCGCAGCGGCCTGGGTTCGACTTCAGCCTGTGGCCCTTTGCTGCATGTCACTCCCTCTTTCTCTTCACGCTCATCTGTCCTATAGTATCGATTAAAGGCTTAACAATGCCCGAAAAAATATCTTTAAAAAAAAAAAAGAGAAAAAAGTTGGCTAGTAAAGTGCTGGTAAAGTGGCAAATTTACGAGTAACTTTGAAAGCATCTTTTTGGAGCCTGCGCACTTTCCATATCCGGACGTGTCACGTGTCAAAACAAACGTGCAAGTGTCCCTGTCCAAACTTTTGTCCTCTGTGTTTATCAGGCTTTTTAAAATACCGTACGACATTCAGATATGTGTTACGGCTGCAGTAGTTAACTTTGGACACGTTCATTAAAAGCAACGTGCCCTGTTGCCGTTAGTAACGGTCGCGTTGCCAACATCGTGGCTGTTTCCAGGAGTGTCACTCAGAATCAATGGCGTCCTGTTCAACAGAGTGGATAACATCTTGTTCTAACATCATTTTGTCTGCCACAGCATTGCACTCTTCTTACAGACTCTTTAAGGTAGGTGTCATTCAGTGTAGTGCCAGTGTAGGTGATGTTACAACTTGCTAACTTTAACTTTTTGGGCTGAAACCATAAGTCGATTAATCAATTAGTTTAGTTCATCTACTGAAAAAGAATCCATAACTTTGACCTGCTTCCAGCTTCCCAAATGTGAGGATGTTCTTACCTTTTCTTGACTTAAATAATAATGATTTTTATTTTTGTAAATTGAGCTAGTGTTTGGAAAAAACAAGCAGTTTCAACATGTGTAATAGTAATTTTTTATAATTATTCTCTGACATTTTATTGACCATTTAATCTATTTATTAAGAACTAAGTCACTTGATACTAACTTGCCATATCTATTTGTAGTACAAAATGAATGCATGTATTCAGGACAGTCCAGGGCTGAGATCTCTGTTACTTTTACCCAGGAAATGGATTATCAATAAATTTGTGTGTATGATTTCTGACTTTGTGATTGTGCCACTTCCTGCATTCACTTGTCTCTACAGGATCACAGGGCTCCTTCAGTTGGCCTGTTCGTGCTCGGTCTCTCTGCAGCACTCTCCATCTTGAATCCCTCCAGCTCGTACCTCACCTCTCTCCAGAGAGAAGCACAGTGGGCTGGCGAGGTCCTGGCCCCAGCGCTGGTGTCTTTTGACTTCCTGTGGCTCAGTGAAGACCACAACACGGCACATATTCTCCTGTGTGGCTCCTGTCTGATGCTGGGACTATGTGACTGGCTCTCAGCAGATGCTCTCCCGCTGATGACACGCTGCCTCGGTTTGTCTTCCCTGTCCTGCTGCCTGACGGTGTGTCTGTTCACTGGTAATGGTTTAGGGGCCTTTGGCGGTGTGGCCCTCAGCCTCCCGTTGCTTGTGGCTCTGAGGGGGGGAGCAAACACTTTTGTTCCACTGATTGCTGCAGCTGATACTGAGGAACTCACTACGTGGCTTTTAAAGGGATCCATGTCTGTTGGCTGCTGGGCCTCCACACAGGCCCTCAGCAAGTTCCTGTTGGATGTGACTGACCGATGTAACATAGGCATTTAAATTAGTAAGAGATCTGTATGATAAGTCAGACTCTGTTAATGGACTGTCTCGTGGTGGGGAGTTACAAAATGGACCTATGCAAAAAATTAAAGTGCCTAACTTAAAAGCATTTTAAGACATTTATAAGCTGAGTTGCATTAACTTTATTACCATTGTTAGGAACTGGCCTTGATGAGCTCATAGTGCAACAGAACAGACAACAACATACTAATAATAAAACCGTATTATATATAAGAATATAATAAAATACACAAAGTATCATTTAACTTGTAATGTAATGCATGTAATTTAGGTGTCCACTAGTGCTGAAGAAATTGATCAATCTTCAGAAATAAATGGCAATAATTGTCAAAAGTAGAGCAATTATTAATCATTTAGCAAAATGCCACAAAATGTCTGACTCCAGCTTCTCAAATTTGAGGATTTGCTACTTTTCTCTTTGTTAACAACATTATAAATGAAATATCACTGGGTTTAAAGGCTCAAAATTAAAAATACATATTTTTCCTCTTACATGTAGTGTTATTTGTCAGTTTAGATTTCTGTGATGTGAGTTGCAGAGTGTTGGCGATATCAGCGGTAGAGATGTCTGTCTTCTCTCCAATGTAATAGAACTAGGTGACACTTGGCTTGTGGTGCTCAAAGCGCCACATAAATACATTTAAAAAACTCAACAGCAATGTCTCTTTCCAGAAATTAAGACCCGGTTACTCAAGATAATCCACAGACCTTGTTGTGAGCAGTTTCATGAAGGATCTATTTTCTGTCTGATGAACTATACTTGTGAACCGTATCATGGTGCAAAAGGAAGCGTGCATCTGCTGCTAGCTCACCTAGCACCACTGAGCTAGCTAACATTACAGCTCAGCCGAGGAGGACGCCATTAATGTTTACATCTCATGCTGTCATGGGCCCAACCCTCTCGTCCATAGGTAGATGCACTCTTCTTCTGCACAGCGATTCAGTTGGCAGGTGTAGTTTGGTAGAAAGAAAATAGTTCCTACATGAAACTGCTCAAAATAAGGTCTGTGGATTATCTTGAGTAACCGGGACATGATTTCCAGAAAGAGACATTGCTGTTGAGTTGTTGTTGTTTGTTTTTTTGGCACTTTAAGCAACTCAAGCCGAATGCCATCTAGGTCCATTACATTCAAGAGAAGGCAGACATCTCTACGGCCGATATCTTTAACTCTCAGCAACTCACACCAAAACAATTTAGATTGATAAATAGCACAAAATATGTATTTTTGATTTTGGGGTGAACTGTCCCTTTATGACTGTTAAGACAAGACAAGCAATTTAAAGACTTTACCCTGGGCTCTGGGAAATAACAGGCATTTTAAGCTATTTTCTGATGTCTTACAGATTAAAATAATAACTGATAGATCTAGAAAAAAATTGATAGATTAATCAGAAATAAAAATATATATAATTAGTTTAAGCACTTGCTTCTAAATTGGAGGCCACATGCACTTAAGAGTAACATGATTTTTACATGTGTCATGATAGAATACAGGAATTTATTATTGACAGAATAGTTCGGGCTGAGATATATGGAAAAATGATACTGCTTTTCATACTATATATACCACACTTTGTGTTTAAAAGTGATGAACCAATTTGCATGGTAATAGAAAGTCTATCCAAAGCTGGAATTACAAAGTATTCAGAAATCTGATTTAGTAATGTGTTTAGTAATGTCTTTGTACTTCCAATTAAATTTCACATTTGGGCTTTTTGCTGTAATTTACAGTGTCTGCTGAGCATAGACTTTGGCTGAACTTAATATGAACCCAATTTGAATAAAAACACAGATACTACTGAACAAACTAATTTGCATGGTAGTACGTGACCACAGTTTTCAAACAATAGCCCATGGTGGCATTTTGCATCCCTGCGGTACAGCAAGAACCACTTTCAGCCCTGCTGACATTTATTATGCTGCTCAATTTGAATGTGATGCAGCTGACATGTGGGCGTTTTAATTTCCTGTCGCACAGGCTGTATTTGCTCTCAGGCCACTGACACCCTCTGCACATCTCTGCTCACAGCTTTAGTGTTGTAGATTCCAAAAACATCCAGCTGCCTCAGAGACTGGGTCTTGTTTGTTCTGCAGCCTCAGCAGAACCCCTGTTTAAATATCTGCATTGGTCTCAACTCTTGGCCCTGCTCTTACCTCATATGCCTTTTTGATACTTATCGATGCACTTTTTTTTTTTTACTACTTCCTGGGTTTTTAGTGGCTGTCATGGTAACAGCAATGACCTCATCTGTTTAACTCACAGTCACTTACATTAGGTCTGTATAATTTTGTTTGTCGACACTGTTGTCCTTGCAAGATATTAATATTCTTACAGAGATTTTTAGTGGACACTGCAGATTCTCTCTCAGGATTTCAGAGTTGTGAGCAGCAGCTGCCTCAGCGGTTTTACTGCAGTGTAGTAAAACGAATGTGTGGCTGTGTTCCTGTCTGTGGGACAATGCCTTTGTCAGACCTCAGGGCACAGGTGACCAGGGACATTTTTAAAGGTTGTCAGTAATGTCGTGCACATTTGTGTTTGGAGTACCAAATTGTGCTGCCTGTGCTTTTTTGTAATGATTCATCACTCAGTTAATGTATTTTTTGGCACAGTGGAAGTGTTTTACAAATGTCACATGTATTTATGTTTATTCTTTTATTTGATTGCTTTTTTTTAAAAAAAACAAAATGTTAATATTTACTAAAGGAAGAAGTGGTCATAACTTGAATAAATTACTTAAACCTTTATCAGCAAATCTCCAGTTATATACCTTTACATTGCATATCAAATATATCTTGGCTCATGTTCAGTTGTTGTCCATGCATCACTGCTGTGCATCTCAGCATTTGCAACATCCAACCCCAGTTTCTGGTCCATATGAGCACCTGGAACTTGGCACATCTCATCCACCTTTTTCTCCAGTCTGTGGTATCAGCATCCACCTCCCTCCAGCTCAATCAGTCTCCATATCAACTCTGTCACTTCACCACTGCAGCGGATTCAGGAAACTACACTGAGCATGCTCGCTGCAGATGCAGCCTGTAGATGGAGCAAAGTGGAGAGGAGGAGAAAGGGGAGGAGAGAGAACGGCAGAGAGGGAGTCACACAGGAGCTGCACACAGTGCTGGGATGCTTCTGCAGCTTTGAGAACAAGGGCTGCATGGGAAGATTTGTCATTGGCAGCACAGATGGAGTGTGGAAGGGGAATACAAATGACCTGGATGTCAGATTGTCATCATCAAAGAGGAACAGATATGTGATAAGGTAAAAAAAGATTTCATGATGCATGATTGAATGGGGTGATGGTTAAAATATAAAACAAAAAATAGTGTCTGGAGAAGTCCTGATGTATGGACACCAGCTTTTACATTCATGCATCCTCTGATTATTGTCAGGGCTTGTGTGTTACAGTTATGTCAGGGCAAGTAATATCATTTTGTCTGCTTTTCTGCTGCATGATAGAGATGTGATTCTTGGGTGAATCTCATTTACAGGGACTCTCGGACAGCGTAGAGATGTACGCTTTCTACTCCCTTTTAGTCTACATCTTCTACACTGTCTTCAAGAAGGAGGAGGAGGAAGCCTTGGAGGGGGCGTGTGGATCTTCCTCAGACGTATGTCTAGCCACATCATGTCCAGCCTCGGGGGTCCTCTGTCAGGAGAAGAACATTTTTTGTGTGAAACATGCATGCGTCATTTATCACCTGACAGCACAAAGAGGCTCAGCAATTTGGCCAAAACAAATTGATGTTGCATTTGTTCTGCCTTTGTGTGCATTTCTTTGTATGCAATGTGTAAATATTGTGTCTGTGCATTAGAGTCTGACCCTAATGTATGTTGCTGTGATCAGGAGCCAAGACCTGTTTCCATGGAAACAGGGAGCAGGAGGAGAGATGGCCACACCTCCAAAATGGGAAAAAAGGCTTGTGTTCAGCTTAGTGAATCCAGTGAGTGCTTAAGTAGTGTTTATTTATAGTCCAATGTAAAGGCTGTCTTATGATATAGTGGAATGATACAACATTTATGATATGGATAGTTTCATACTTCAAACATTCCTTTATTCTTTAAAGTGCATGTGATTTGTTGTCACCTAGGCAGTAGCAGTGACAGTGATGAAATGTCCCCGAGTGACGAAGGTGAGGAAGATGGCCCTGACATCCCAGCATGCACGCCTCTGGCTGCTTTCCTGTCTTTCAAGCAGGAGGCTGAGAAGAGGAGGGCCTCACAGGTCCAGCTGGAAACAACAGGAAAGGTAGCGAAACTGTGTCATCACCTTGACTGAGCTGCTCACCTGATGCAGGAACATAAAGTATCAGTTCCCTAAATAGAAGTCTCTGCAGTGTTAAAACTTTGTATGCGTGCATCTGTACTGCCCAGTTGACAGAGTCTCCCCTGGTGGCGGTGATGTCCCACTTGCTGAGTTTTCTGGAGCAGTACTCCCACTTCCAGCAACTGCAGCAGCAGGCCGACCAGTACCGGGTCCAGCTGAAGAGGCACCGCGTCCAGCACCGCCGCCAGATGAAGGCCCTGCGAGCGTCCTACCGCCAGCGCCTCAGGGACAAGAACGGCATCATCAGCAGCCTGGAGGAGGCCATCAGCCAGCAACAGACCCCCAGTCCACTGAGCGAGGGTGAGGGAGAAAGGGAATGGGGGAGGAGAGAGGAAAGAAGGGATAGGGGGAGGGTGAAATTAAGGTGCAAGAGGGAATGGGTTTGCATTTCCATTTGGTGGGTGGGAGGATGATGAAAAATAAAAAGAGGTTGGGGTCAAGTGGGTGTTTCAGTGACCACACACAGAGGCAGATTGGCTGGTGTGAAAAGAGAAGCAGGAATGGCACAGAGGGCTAAAGATAGATTTAAATCGATAAGGTTGGATGAGATCATTTGATGGATTAGGAGGACAATGAATAAATAAATCTTAATAGGTTTATATCCACTGAGTTATGTGATGTAGATGAGAATGTTTTGTGCTTTCATTTACAGTTGTGGAAATCCAGTAATCTTCCATTACCGTATAAAAATGTGAGCAGGATTTGAGAGGCAGTCATCAATTCTTTAGACAGTGTCTTACTGAGTTCGCTTCAGTGCCCTATGATGTGTTTTTTCCAATGTTAGCTCCCCCAGGATGAGATTTTTTTTAACCAGGGACACACTGAACATCTTTTAACAGAAGTATATAGTCATCAGCAGAGCAGCAGACTGATTAGATTAGCCAGACTTACACTTGCCGCTGCCATTGACCTCAAATCTTCAGATGTTGGTATCTGTTGTGTTTCAGATTTGACCAGATGGTTCTTGACTTGGTCCTCTGTGCAGACAGGTTGTTGCACCATCTGTCTTACATCACTTTTCTATGCATATGTACAGCATGTTAACATGTGCATGCATCTGTAGACAGATCAGGCTCCTGTCCTTAGGCTGACACATACAGCCTCAGAGAAATACGCCAATACCTATGATAATGTATGTGATGACCATGCTGGGTTATATGGATTCAGAGTGCAGAGCAGAGGACCTCATGCACACTGACTCTCATTAGTCGCAGGACAAAGATACATGATTCTGTAGTGAGGGTCTTTGGTACTTAGATAGTGAC